CATTTTTATCATGAAAACTGCTTAATTCTGTTTTCTATTTTACATAGGATTTTCCCCCAGTGGTTTTTGAGTGTTTGGTCATGTCTTTTGTGTCAGGGTTATATTGGCTTCATAAGAAGAAATAGAAGAGTTTCCTCCCATGTGTACAATAGTTTAAATAACATTGGAATTATCTGATCCTTGAAGTTTAAGGGCTGTTCATAAAACTTTGGATCTGGTATATTGAGTGGTAATATGTCATGAATACTTTCATACAGGCCAGGAAGGTTATTTGTATAGTATCCGTTTCTCTTGTAGAAGCAGGTAGACATCTTGTTTCCAGTGCTCATGCTGTAACATTCTTTGATCCTCCTGTTGTTTCTGGAACAACAGGGAAAAGAAATAACAGTAGAACTGAACTATCTTTAGAGACCTGCTTGCAAGATTGGGTCTTGTTTGATATCTGGGAACTTAGATTTTGAAGGGGTTCTGCCATTAATTGGTAAGAGTGGCTCACTTAAACCGTGCAAACATTATGGTTTATGTTGCACTACTTTCCTTCTGGGATCTGGAATTTGGATGTACACCAGACAGAGAATACCTGCTCAAACACCTCCCATTGAACACCCTGGGCACTGAGTCTCTAACTAGTGCCCTGGTTAGAAACATTTAACACTTGTTAAAATTATTGCAGCTCTTTTTTTTTTTTTAAAAGATGTTATTTACTTTTATACAAGAACCGGGGTACAGGCCAGATGCGCGGGTAGGTGAGAGGATTCACCGGAGACAGAGTGGGGAAAAGAACAGGCAGACTGAAGAAATATACTGCTGAGGGGAGCAGCGGGTGAGACAGGAGAGGTCTGCTTCACCATATGGGATTCTTTTTTTTTTTTTTTCATATGGGATTCTTGCCGGCCAGTCGGGATCGAACCCGCACTGCAGAGGCTGCAGACAGCTTCACAGTGGGGTGCTCAACCGCCTGTGCCACTAGGGAGGCCCAATTATTGCATATCTTAACTCCACAGAAAGGACCCTACAGCCTTGTCTGGATTCCCCCAGACTTTGACCCTGTGCTTTTTCAAAACCTTTCCTGATTTTTGTTTTGTTTTGTCTTTTGCTGTAATAAATCATAACCATGTGCTGAGTCATGAAAGGTCAGTTTATATGACAGGCCAAAACAGAAATATTACAAGACAATGACAGACTTACAAAGCAGAACTTTAAAACAACAACAAAACACAAAACCCCTCCGTATTATAACCATGTCATAACAGGTGCGGAAACAGTTTCATGAAGTTAGAAAATTTTGTCATGTTGTTAGTAACATCTTGTTAGTCACAGAATAAGTTTTAAAGTTTAAGAAACAAGTCAAAAGAGTCGCTCTCCCTGAATTTTTTCCCCAATTAGTTTTGTTAAAATTGGTGGTTAAAAATTTATTGATGTGTGGTTTCTAAAACATGGGTTTTAAAATGTAGATGGGTAGACCCAAACTCTCACTTTGCATATAAGCTAGGACATCTGGCAAAAATATTTTCTGCATACAAACTGTGGCAGTGATACTTCGTTTGTAGCACTCAAAATGGAATGATATCATACTAAGTGAATTTTCTCAGTGAATATTTTGTTTGCATATCCCTGTTTGCATATACCTGAGTAAGGAATACGAACCTACAGCATCATAGTCTAAATCAGTGGCCCTTTCCCAAGCTGTTTTTTAGGATCACTTCCAAATAGTGATTCCACATTCCAGTTCAGTTAAATCAGAAGCTCTGATAGGTGGGCCCCAAAGCATCTCTTTTTCTATTTTTTTTTTTTTAAAGATTTATTTATTTATTTATTTATTTATTTATTTATTTATTTATTTATTTATACAAGCACTGGGTACAGTCAGAGGCACGGGAGGGTGAGAGAATTCACCAGAGTCAGAGCGGGGAGCAGAGCAGGCAGAAGGACTGAAGTACACTGCTGAGGGGAGCAGCGGGCGGCAGGAGAGGTCTGCGCACCATGTGGGACCCTCCTCCGGTGGCCGGGGAGCAGCCGGGGATCGAACCAGCACTGCAGAGGCTGCGGGCAGCTTCACAACCCAGCGCTCAACCGCTGCGCCACGGGGGAGGCCCTCTTTTTCTATTTTTAACCTCTTCACGTAATTTCAGTGTGTGGCAAGTTCATTGAGAATCACTAGTCTAATTAAAATAGTTCTGTATGCCAAAAAAAAAATTTGTGTTTATTCCACAATTTTCCATGCCTGGTTATATTTAATTTATGTCTCTAGGTGGAAAATAATTGAAATGTAAATTTAGCAAAATGAAATTTATTAAGAACTGCAAATCTGGAGAACCTGTTAGGATAGTTATATATATATATATATATATATATATATATATATATATAATTAATGTTTATTATTTATCAGTTGAAGAATTTTAAATTTACCTTTGAGCTCAACCAAACATCAATCGTTATTTATCAAGAATCATTTAGTGAAATCATTTGCATCCTACTCATGACCGAGATACAATTTTAAGAAAATGTTATACCAGAGAATATATTCACTGGTTATAGCCATTGCTTTATTTTAGCCAGAGAAAGAGTATTTTGTAGTGTCATGTACCACCATTGAAATTTTGGATAGTGATGAACAAGAGTTCATATTGAAGTGGAGTAGAATTGTTTACTTGCTTATAATGGCAAATTTGATTGTTCATTTTTTACTTGTCAAAAAATATGTGATTACAAGAATATATTCAACACAATATGAGGGAATCTCATTCAGTATACATCATTGTAATTCAAGGGAAAACATTAATCAGTGACACCTTACTTCTTTTTAAGTTATATTATCTTTATTGAAGTAACAGTGGTTTACAACTTTTCACACCTTTCCAGATGTATGTTACCACGTCACACTCACCACCAAAGTACCCATAATCCTCCACAAGAGTGCATTAGGCCTCCTTTCCCTCTGTCTCTGATACTACCTTCCACAACCCCCTCTCCTACACCTTTCTCCGTTAGTGGCTTCAGTTCTTTAGTCAGACTTCTAGAGTTTATTACAGGTTAGTTTTTCTGTTCCTTTGTTTTCTCTATATTCCACATATGAGTGAGATCATCTAGTATCTGTCTTTCTCCTCTTGACTTATTTCACTTAGCATAAACCCCTTTTGTTATCTCCATGTTGTCACAAATGGCAAAATTTCATCTTTTTTTAAATAGCTGAATAGTTGAATGGAATTTTAAAATCATTTACTAGTAACTTTCAGAATTTCATGAGTGACATAGGAAATGATTGTGTTATTTTGGACCTTGATTGGGTAATCCAACCAGAAACCAAAACAATAACCCAAAGCAGTCTCATCCTTTGTCTAGTGTATAGCCAATCCTTAATCGTATGTTAGAGCAGTGGTTTGCCTGAGGGTTAAATCCAGGCCTTTTCTGTAAATAATTTTATTGGAACTTAGCCATGCTCATTCATTGACTTAATGTCTCTACTTGCATTTAGGCTTCAAGAGCAGGTATGACAGAAACCATAAAACCTGCAAAAGCTAAAATACCTGTTTTCTGATCCTTTGCAGAAAGTTTGCCAACTCCTGTCTTAGACTATTATATTACATGTTAAAAGATTGAATTACCTATTTGCTGACACTCCTAAACAAATCCTCTTAAATTGAATTTGGTCTTTCACACACACACAAGTAACTGTAGATGATTCCAGTTTTTTTGGCTTTCAAGTGGAGTCTGTAGTTGAAGGAAAGTAATTTGCCTTAGAAACAGGGGAGTATGCAGTTAACACTCTCATATTCCCAGTGTAGGGGGCCAGGGGCCTGTTCATTCACCTGGGGTTGCCATTCCTTGCCTCACTTATATTCTTGTCCTCCATTTTCTGTGCATTACAATCCTTGCTGTTGCCTCCTCTGCTGGGGTTGACCATTGAGTAGCCTGTGATGGGGGCAACCCAGACCTTGAAGCTCTTTCTCTTGCTGATAATGGATCTGGATGTAGAAGTTTAAAGATTAGGAGTGGTTTAACCTTTAATCCTGGCCTAAGTAGAGAGTTTAAGAAAGTATGGAAATAGACTGGAGATGGCATATCTGGCTGTTTCCCCAGTCTCTGGTACAAAAGAAGGGTAGGTGACACCTCTCAGCTGTCAGCCACATCTATACCTCAGACACCTGAATGCCAATGACTACTCTCACCCACTTGCTGGATTACTTGCAGGACTTACAAATATAATAGAAATTGAAGAATATAAACATTTTTAGTTTTCAACAAATATACCTCCCTTTCTGGCATGTAAAGTTTTAGACCTTTGATTTTCAGTTACATTTATAGAAAGGTATTTTATACAAGAGCAAGGAAGCACTTGTGAATAAGATTAAATGATACTCTCTAAACATAGGCAACCTGAGCATCAGAGCTGCAAGTTTGGACTGGAAATTACAAGCTTGAAAAAAATACTGGGGTCATTTTTTGGGGGGTGGGGAGGTTAGGATAAACTTTCATTAGTAAATGTTGAGTTATTTTGTGACACCAGAAGACTTTTTTTGTAAAGTAATTAAGATGATTTCAGACCAAAACCTCTGAAATGAATGGTTTAGTTTATTCTGTTGGTCACTTATGTCATCTGCCCAAGTGACTCTTCTACTGGGCAATAGTTAGATCTGACCTTATTGAATACTTCTGTTAAGAGAGCTGTTCTTCTGGTTGTTAATCTTTTTTCTCCTGGGGTGCTGAGAAATAAGGGACTGTATTTGGGCGTAATTTTCTAGATTGTGACAGCTCCAAGTGCTGTTGGTGCTTAAAGACCCTGGTGTTTTTGCTTTCCTAATGTTATAAGGCAGTGATAGAATTTGACTGAATTGCTTCCCAGAATAAATGCGTTAATAAAGATACCGGTAGTGATGAAATAGCTCTTTGTTGTGGTTTTTGAAAGTACTTTAAATCTTTACTTATCTATGTTTATATGTGATTTTCTAAGTGTACTCTCCTTCCCTTACTAACTGTCATCCTTTCTTTTTGAATAGGTCAGTGACTATCATCTGTTCTACAAGATGAGTAACAGCCACCCTCTTCGCCCCTTTACTGCAGTGGGGGAAATTGATCATGTGCACATTTTGTCTGAACATATCGGTGCCTTGTTGATTGGGGAAGAATATGGCGACGTCACATTTGTTGTGGAAAAGAAACGATTTCCTGCCCACAGGGTAATTTTAGCAGCAAGGTGCCAATATTTTCGGTGAGTATGTAATACTTTTTGAAGATTCAAGTCACTTGTAGGAAACACTGCTATTTTCTACCCTATGAAATATATGGATCCAAGCATAATGATAAATTCTGGCAATCTTTCAGTTCAACATCTGTAAGAATTTCAGCTTTGTAGACTTTTTGTTATCTTTTGAAACCACTTTTTCCTGTAGGAATCATCTAAGAATTATAGGATCCGAAGGTTTTCCAGGTTAGGCAGTACTCAGTCAACCATTTTTCAAGGTCTTAAGAATATTTCTCAGGTTGTCTTTGTTGCCCTTACCTTCCCCTCAGTCAATGACTAATCGAACTTAAGCTGATTTATTGGCAGATAGGCTTCTTGTTGTATAGGTAGACTGACAGCGGGATTTGCTAATGAAGCTGTGTACCCTCAGTTTCACACTACTAAAGTCCTGAGTCTGTAGGTAACCCAACAGATCTCTGTCTCAGACCTGCAGTTTGATAACTCCAAATTAAAGGAAGCTTAAGTATTTACTAAGTAGTATAGTTACATTAGAAATAAAACCAAACAAGATATTTATGTATTTAATTAGTATAAAAATTCTACTTATATCTAACTATTGTTTGCTACTCAAACCCTAAATTTCCAGGGTTATAAGTATTAAACTGAGCTCTAATTACTCTATACTTTACCTAATATTAGTTAAGAAGTAATCATTACTATGTTATTGACTGAGTGATAATTTATTCTTTTTTTTTTTTTTAATATTAAATTTTATTTTTATATTCCCCCATACAATTGCAAACGCCCCATTCTGACCCCAATCCTTCCCCTCCCGCCCCCCACCCCCCAAAAAGTGTCTCTGGTTCATAGTTTTTTGTTGATTTTGATTTTCACTTTCTTATATTCATTTTCCTGGTCCCTTATTTAAGTTTTCTAGATTCCTGCTATGAGTGAGACCATCCGGTATTTTTCTTTTTCTTTTTGGCTTATTTCGCTGAGCATGATCCCTTCCAGTGCCATCCATGTTGCTGCAAATTGCATGTGTTTATCTTTTTTGAATGCTGAGTAATATTCCATGGTATATATGTACCACATCTTCTTGATCCAGTCATCTATTTTTGGGCATTTGGGCTGTTTCCAAAGCTTAGCTATTGTAAACAGTGCTGCTATAAACATAGGAGTGCAGGTGCTCTTTGGAATTGATGTTTCTGTGTCCTTTGGGTAAATACCTAGGAGTGGAATTGCTGGATCATATGGAAGCTCTATGTTTAGTAGGTCCAGAAATCTCCACACAGCTCTCCATAGTGGTTGGACCAGTTTGCACTCCCACCAACAGTGCACAAGAGTTCCTTTTTCTCCACATCCTCGCCAACATTTGTTGTTGCTAGTTTTTTTAATATGTGCCATTCTCCCTGGTGTGAGATGGTATCTCATGGTAGTTTTGATTTGCATTTCCCTGATTACAAGTGATGTTGAACATTTTTTCATATGTCTGTTGGCCATTTGCATTTCCTCTTCAGAGAAGTTTCTTTTTAGCTCTTCTGCCCATTTTTTGACTGGATTATTTTCTTTGTTGTTGCTGAGTCTCATCAGCTCTTTGCAGATTTTGTGATCAGTCCTTTATCATTAGTGTTGGGTGCAAAAATGTTCTCCCAGTTGGTGGGGTTTCTCTTTGTTTTTGTTATTGTCTCTTTTGCTGTGCAGAAGCTCTTTAATTTGATGTAGTCCCAGCTGTTTATCTTTCTCTTCACTATCACTGCTTTGGGTGATGTGTCTATAAAGATGTCTTTGATGTGCAAATCCCGTAGTGTTTCGCCTATATTTCCTTCTATGTATTTTATGGTTTCAGGTCTTATGTCTAGTTCTTTAATCCATTTTGAGTTGATTTTTGTGTATGGTGTGAGGTAGTGGTCAAGCTTCATTCTTTTGCATGTAGCGACCCAGTTTTCCCAGCACCATTTATTGAACAAACTTTCTTTGCTCCAATGCATAGTCTTTGCTCCTTTGTCAAAGATTAGTTGACCATAAATCTGTGGGTTTATTTCTGGATTTTCTATTCGATTCCATTGGTCTGTATGTCTGTTCTTGTTCCAATACCATGCAGTTTTGATGATTATGGCTTTGTAGTATAGTTTGAAGTCTGGGAGTGTGATGCCTCCATTCCCTTCTTTTTTTTTCAGGAGAGCTTTGGCTATTCGGGGTTTTTTTGTGATTCCATATGAATTTCATCAATAATTGTTCTATTTCTTTGAAGAATGCCATTGAGATTTTGATTGGAATAGCATTGAATCTGTATATTGCTTTTGGTAGGATGGCCATTTTAATAATGTTTATTCTTCCAATCCATGAGCAGGGGATGTCTTTCCATTTCTTTGTGTCTTCTTCTATTTCTTTTAACAGTGTTTTATAGTTTTCTTTGTATAGGTCCTTTACCTCTTTTGTTAGATTTATTCCAAATATTTGATTTTTTTTTGTTTCGATAATAAAAGGGTGGTTTTTTTGATTTCTTCTTCTTCAGATTTATTGTTTGTGTATAGGAAGGCTACTGACTTTTGCGTGTTGATTTTGTATCCTGCCACTTTACTGAATTGATTGATGAGTTGAATTAGTTTTTCTGTGGAGATTTTGGGGTTCTCTATGTATATTATCATATCATCTGCAAATAGTGATAGTTTGACTTCTTCTTTTCCTATTTGGATTCCTTGGATGTCTTTCTCTTGTCTTATTGCTCTGGCTAGGACTTCCAGTATTATATTGAAAAGCAGTGGTGAGAGTGGACATCCTTGTCTTGTTCCAGATCTTAATGGAATTGCTTTCAGCTTTTCACCATTGAGAATGATACTGGCTGTTGGCTTGTCATAGATGGCCTTTATGATGTTGAGGTATGTTCCTTGTATCCCAAGAATTTCAAGGGCTTTTATCATGAATGGGTGTTGCACTTTGTCGAAAGCTTTCTCAGCATCTATTGATATTATCATATGGTTTTTATATTTCTTTTTGTTGATGTGTTGGATAACGTTGATTGATTTTCGGATGTTAAACCATCCTTGTGCCCCTGGAATGAATCCAACTTGGTCGTGGTGAATTATCTTATGGATACATTGTTGGATTCTGATAGCTAAAATTTTATTGAGGATTTTTGCATCAGTGTTCATTAGGGAGATTGGCCTATAGTTTTCCTTTTTTGTTGTCCTTATTCGGTTTTGGTATTAGTGTAATATTGGCTTCATAGAACGTGTTTGGTATTGTCCCTTCCTTCTCAATTTTTTGGAAGAGTTTGTGAAGGATAGGCACTAATTCGTCTCTGAATGTTTGGTAGAATTCATTTGTAAATCCATCAGGTCCTGGGCTTTTGTTTTTGGGGAGGTTTTTAATTACCATTTCAATTTCGCTGCTTGTAATTGGTCTGTTTAGGTGTTCTATTTCTTCTTTATCTAGCTTTGGGTGATTGTAGAGTTGTAGGAATTTGTCCATCTCCTCTAGATTGTTGAACTTGTTTCCATATAACTGTTCATAGTAGTTACTGATTATTCTTTTGATTTCTGCTGTGTCCGTTGTGATTTCTCCTCTTTCATTTATGATTCTGTGTATTTGTGCTTTCTCCCTTTTTTCCTTTGTGAGCCTGGCTAGGGGTTTGTCTATTTTATTTATTTTTTCAAAGAACCAGCTCTTGGTTTCATTGATCTTTGGATTGTTTTTTTAGTTTCAATTTCATTTATTTCTGCTTTGGTTTTTATTATTTCTTTTCTTCTACTGGTTCTGGGGTTTTTTTGTTGTTCTTTTTCTAGATCTTTGTGCTTCGAGATTAGGTTGTTTCTTTGAGTTCTTTCTTGTTTTTTGATGTGAGCTTCTATTGCTATATATTTTCCTCTTATTACTGCTTTTGCTGCATCCCATACATTTAGGATATTGGTGTCCTCCTTGTCATTCAATTCAAAGAATTTTTTAATTTCTTCTTTGATCTCCTCGTTAGTCCAGTGGTCTTCCAGTAATGTGGCTTTTAATCTCCATGAGGTAGGATAGTTCCTTGCCTTCTTTTTATGATTTATTTCTAGTTTGATGCCTTCGTGGTCAGAAAAGATGGTTGGTATGATTTCAATCTTGGTGTATCTGTTGATGTTTGTCTTGTGCCCCAGTATGTGATCGATCCTGGAGAATGATCCGTGTGCGCTTGAGAAAAATGTGTACTCCGTTTTTTTTGGGTTTAGTGTTCTATAGATGTCTGTTAAGCCCAAATGCTCTAGGTCCTTATTTAGAGCTTTAGTTTCTTTACTTATTTTTTGTCTTGTTGATCTATCCACTGTTGATAGTGGTGTGTTGAAGTCTCCCACTACATATGTGTTTTCTCTGATGTCTGTTTTCAGAGAGGACAACAGTTGTCTGATATATTTTGGTGCTCTTTCGTTTGGTGAGTATATGTTAATGAGTGTTATTTCTTCTTGAAGTATTGTCCCCTTAATCATAATGTAGTGACCATTGGGGTCTCTTTTTATTTTTTTGAGTTTGAAGTCTGTTTTATCTGATATAAGTATAGCTGTTCCTGCTTTCTTTTTGGCCCATTTGCTTGTAGGATTGTTTTCCATCCTTCTTTGAGCCTATTTTTATCTTTTGTAGCTAAATGTGTTTCCTGGAGACAGCAAAAGGTTGGGTTTTGTTTCTTAATCCAGGCTGCAACTCTGTGTCTTTTTATTGAAGAGTTTAGTCCATTTACATTTAGAGTTAATATTGATATGTTAGCATCTGTATTTGCCATTATGTTTGTCTTTCCTTTGATTTTATTTATTTTTTAATAACTTTTTTTTTTTTTTGGTCTTCTTTCGTTGTTATTCGTCCTCTGAGGTTCTGGCTTTAGGATTCCTTGTAGTATTTTTTGGAGTGGGGGTTTAGTCGCAATGAAATTCCGGAGTTTCTCTTTCTGGGAAGGTCCATATTCTTTCTTCATGGAGGAAGAGAGCTTTGCGGGATAGAGTATTCTTGGTTGGCATCTGTTTTCTTGGAGTCTGTTGACTATGTCCCTCCACTCTCTCCTTGCCCGTAATGTTTCTTCAGAGAAGTCTGATGTCAGCCTGATTGGTTTTCCTTTGAATGTTATCTGTTTCTTCCCTCTTGTCAGCTTCATTATTTTTTCCTTGTCCTGGATTCTTGGGAGCTTTACTATTATGTGTCTTGCTGTGTTTTTCCTTTCGTCGTGGAAGTTTGGTGTTCTTCTTGCTTCTTGTATATCCATTTTCAGCTCCTTCTTCTCATTTGGGAAGTTCTCTTCAATTATATCCATGAATATTTTCTCTGTTCCTACATCTCTCTCCTCTCCTTCTGGAATTCCTATAACTCTTATATTTCCTTTCCTCATGGAGTCAGATAGTTCCCGAAGTCTTTCTTCATTCTTTTTCCTTCGTACTTCTCTTTCCTTTTCTGTTTTGGTTCTTTTTATTTCTGTGTCTTCAAGATTACTTATTCGTTCTTCCATTTCATCTATTCTGTTTTCATTGCTTTTCCCAGAGTTCTTTAGTTCCTCCATTAATTCTTTGATCTCCTGCATTTCTCTTACTTCCCTCTTTAGGGACTCAATTTCCTTCTTCTGATCTATCACTTTTTTAATCATGGCAATTTTAAATTCTCTTTCTGGAAGGCTCAGAAGTTCTTCCAAGTTGCTGTCGTTGCAATCTGGGGAGTGGTTTTCTTTTTGTGGTGTGCTTCTTTCCTGAGGAGTTTTTAGGTTGCGTGTGGTTCTTCTACTCCCTACTGTCTGTTTTCTAATTTGTCGTATGCGTTGGGACACTGTGTTGCTCGGACTGACTGACATCTTGGGTGAACTTCTCCGCTCCCCTCTGGCTCTTCCAGGAGCCATCTCTGTCTTCTGGGGGAGCTTTCTGCTGGTTTTAGGCAGTTTTTACTGAAGAAATGTCCCTGTTCTCAAATGGCGAAGCGGGATGCAGTCCCTGCGCCTCCGGTTTCAGGCACACTCTTCTGCGCACCCGGTCTGCCCCGGACGTGGGTGCCTGCTCCCTCTGTGGGCTCAGACTGCTGGTCGGAAGGGGCCTGGCGTGGAATAACTTCCCGGCTGGCCACTGGGTCCTCCAGAAACCTTCTGCCCTTTTCAAGCAGTCTTAAGAAATGTCCTGTTTTATAGGGTGTTAGTGACTTTTTTTTTCCTGGTCTCTAGGTGGCGCCAGAGATCTCTCCTATTGTCCTTGGGGGGCTGTTTTTCGCCTCCCCCCACCCCGTGGGACAGAGAACAGAGCGGGAATGGTAGGGTACACCTCAACAGCTTTGGGGTGCTGTGTCTGCCTTGTGCCCCACCGTCGTGGAGAAACCACGCCCCGAATTTTCGTGCCCCGGGTCTCAGTTCAAAGCCCTCAGTTCCAGGACGCGGGCTGTAGCCCAGTTCAGTGGCGCGGGAATGGCGCCTTTTGCACCGCTCCCGTGCCTGGGCGCCTGGTTCCTGCTCACTCAGGGAGGGACCTTTACCTCAGTGAGGACCTCTGCGCGTCTCCCCGCAAGCCTAGGTCGCAGGCGCGGGGACCTGGGCAGCCACGATCCAGGTCTGCACTTGCTTTTCAAGCTCCCCGAGCGCGCCGCGTTTCCGCGCCAGCTTACTGGCAGCCCGGGCTGTGTGCGCGTCTCCCGGGGTCTTTGTTCTTCTCTAATGGCGCCCGGAGCCGTTCGCTCACCGCCGCGGCGGATCCTGCAGGGTTCGCCTCAGCTCCCGTTCACGGGGTGTGGTGGCTGCAATAGTTCCTTTCCACTCACAGTCCCACTTGCTGCGTCGTTTGTTCTTGTTGGCCGTTTTGGTTTATTGTTTCCTCCTCTCTGCCGGTCGGAGAGTGCCGCCTCTGTGGGCGGGGGAGGGGAGCAGGGTTCTGCGCTTCCCTCCCTTCTAGTCCTCTTTTATGGCCAGTTTCTTCTTCGGGCAGTTCGCTGGAGTCACCCGTTTATCTTCCGTGTCCCAGTTCTCACTGGGACCTGCCGCTTTTCCTCCCTATTCACTTTTTTTTTAATGGGAGATCTTACTCGCAGCGTCTCCTCGCCGCCATGTTGCTCCGCCCCCCCCCATAATTTATTCTTGATAGAGCCATAGAGTTCATATCAGTAGAGTCATGGATTTGCTTGGGAACCTGTATATCTAAAAATGGAAGTGCCAATGACTGAGAAAATTTCAGTTACTTTCTATTGAAAGTTAGTCATTTTTTTTGTACTCAGAATTAACCAAGACAGCAAAACAATAATAACTAGTTTCATAAACATAATATGTATATCTCTAGGAAATAGTTGCTCTTTCACTAGACTTTTATAATACCTCATACATATTTGTAGAATGTCCCATATTCATAACCATTTTGCATTTAAAATACCACTGTAGATGAAACCGAGAGCGTGCAAAAGAGAGAAATCTATGAAGAATTCTAGCTAAACCTCTTCTATTCTCTTTGTTAGTGGTCAACTTTCCAAAGCAGACCTTGGTCTAGTTTTTATTTGTTACCAGCCTTTGTCCTCTGTACACTTCTCCTGAAGATTGGAGGTGTAATAAAGTCGTAATTCAATGGAGAGTAATATAGAAATTCAAATTCATTACCTTACTGGATTGTCTACTTCTCATTTTTTAGATGAGCAGATAAGCAAAAATGCAGAGATTTTTTTTAATCTGAAAAATATTGAAAGACCAAAAAAGTTACCACCCCAAATTCCATCAACAGTATCATTTTTAATTTATAAAGTGACAAATAAAAGTCTTTCCCTCCTAGTCATCTAATCATATTCCCAGAGACAAACCACTGTTAATGGTTTAATATGAAATTTCCCCTAATTTTCCTTGACTTAAGTAGACATAGCTATATATTACCTATGTGCATACACATAAAAGTATGTGTTTATGCACTATTTCCCATGTGACCCATAGGTGTCAATAACTTGATTTACCTGCTATATCCTGGACATATTTCCAAGATGTGTTGGTCTTCCTTGATCTTTCTAATGGCTGCAGAGAATGTGTCACAGTTTTTTCAGCCACATCCCTATCAATGGACCTTTTATCCATCTAGTATTACCAAAACATTGATCTCCCCCCCCCACTGTTCAGTATATGTGTTTCAGTATATATTGTTATATATTTATTTTTATCTTGCTGTTTTATTTCTTTAGCATTATAAATTAAAGTGAAATAACTGAGTTGAAGGGTATGCATGTTTAGATTTGAAAGATATTACTTTCAAAAGGGGGGGCTTTCAAAAGGGGGGGCAATCATTTCTTCTCTAACAGCAGTACGTGAGAGAACCTGTTTTCCTATTTTGCAGCACTGACTATTAGCATCAATTTCAATTTCTGCCATTTTGATTGGATAATGGCACCTGGTTGTGTGGAGTTTTTGTCTGGTTATACCTTTTCCTGAGTTACTTTTGAGACCTGTCTTGTTGACCTTTAATATCTTTATACTGAGTTCACTATTCTTCTCAAGAGAGTGCTTTCTTCTTTCTATTTAATATTTATTACATGTCTTAGGCCCTCAGAATATTTCATTAGTCCAGTTGTTTATAGAATTAATTCAAAATAGTTTAAAAATCATTTTCTTTAAAGAACTATTTAAGGTGATTGCTTTGTATTTCTTCACCTGAATCTCTGTGTCATTAAACAAATTGATGTCTCTATGAAATAATGCTGGTAACCATTATTTCATAATTTTGTAGCAAGTCCTATTTGAGGTTTTCCTCATGCATTTCTTCTCTGTCATTCAGAGCACTACTGTATGGTGGAATGCGAGAATCTCAGCCAGAAGCAGAAATTCCCCTCGAAGACACCACTGCAGAAGCATTCACAATGCTACTTAAGTACATCTACACTGGGCGGGCAACACTGACAGATGAGAAGGAGGAGGTGCTACTGGACTTTTTGAGCCTGGCTCATAAATATGGATTTCCAGAGCTGGAGGATTCTACCTCTGAGTACCTCTGCACCATACTTAACATTCAGAACGTCTGTATGACTTTTGATGTTGCCAGTCTCTACTCACTTCCCAAGTTAACTTGTATGTGCTGCATGTTTATGGACAGAAATGCTCAGGAAGTGCTCTCAAGTGAAGGTTTCCTCTCCCTTTCTAAGGTGTGTCATTGACTACAAGAAATTTACATACATGTGTTGTTTTATTTATACCTGAACAGTAGAAATATAGCAGTGGTTATGGAAGAAGTTTTCTGTCTAGCCATCTGCCTCTGGCTACTGGCACTCTAGGTCATACAAGAGAAAGGCAGATTGCTTTTGTTTCCTTTTAAGTTTCTTCTGGTAAGTTTTATATGCCCAAGAGACTGTGCTGCTGGCTGGTTGTTTTCAAAGTGCTAGCAGTCAAATAGTCTCCTTTGGGGTGCTGCATACTGTCTTTTGGTTTTATATTTCTCTGGCAGAAAATGCAGCTAATGATTTCTCATTAGCTGAGGGGAATTTATAAAGGAGGTTTGATGAATCATTGGATATGTATAAGTCATGCCTCCCACTCCCCCCCCCCGCTGCCCCCACTGGCTCACAATTCACTCTTATACAGTGAATATATATTAATACATATTCACAATATTATGTTTCTCTATAATATAGTTTCTCTATATTATAGAGAAACTGCTTTGTTCACATCTTTCTTTGAACCCCAGAGAATAGTTGCCTCTCCCTTCCTCTTTCTCTGTTCCTCCAAGGACTTAAATTTTTCGAATGAGAAAACCTATTTGAAAAGCCATGTTATCTTGGTTTGAGTGTAAACTGTGCTTTGTATTATCCTGAAAAATTTTCAAAGGCAAGGGTCTTTAAGTGTTCCTGCAGGTCAGTCTGTAATCTGAGAACCAAAAATATGTTAGTGCAGTAATACTGTGGAATAAAAGATTTTGAATTTTTGAAACTGGCTGTGTCTTACTAACTTACAAATGTAAACTCTCCTGAAGAACCTCTATGAACTTCTAACCTGTAATAACTTTTCATGTTGCCATTTTTCTTCTTTGTTTTATTAAAGATGGATGAAGATAGATTGGGAAGACTATATATTTGATGTAGTGGTCCAAGATGCCCAGGCAGGAACACAGGATTCTACCATCCTTTCTTATTATTGGCATAGCCCCAATGGGCAAAAGAATATAGGGCACAAACAATAAGGAATGAAGATGGGCAAAAGAGTTAATTGTTTAAATATAAGTGATACTTGCAATTTTTTAAGGTTTTGCTGATTGATCGCACATGACTGAGCACCATACTAACTGGACTTTGCCCTCTTTATTCTTTTCAGACAGCCCTTTTAAACATCGTATTAAGAGATTCATTTGCAGCTCCCGAAAAAGATATTTTCCTAGCCTTGTTGAATTGGTGTAAGCATAATTCAAAGGAGAATCATGCTGAAATCATGCAGGCTGTGCGCTTACCTCTGATGAGCCTCACTGAGCTTCTGAATGTTGTGAGGCCTTCTGGACTGTTGTCTCCTGATGCCATTCTGGATGCTATTAAAGTTCGATCAGAGAGCCGGGATATGGACTTAAATTATAGAGGCATGCTCAGTAAGTACCTCTTGATCCTCATCTCACCAAGAAACTTTGCATCTTATTACAGTTAGCTACAAAATTATAGTGCAGGTATATATGGGTCTGTGAATATACAGCTCTGTTTCTTATGAAATGTCATCCTGTCATTCTTCTGTTAATTCCTTCTGAGATTGCCTGGCCTTGGTTCACCTCCGAAATAGGTATTTCTTGCCATTCATGGAGAAATTTCTCCAGCTGCTCACTAGAAGATTGAAAGTAGATACTTTGCTGTACAACTTCTCATGTTAAGACCTTTCCTTCTTTCCTCCATCAGATCAATACTGAGTACATGTTATGTGCTTGCTATTATTTTTGATATTATGAACATGGAGACTGTAAATAATAATAGCTAACATATAAGTAGCATTTCCAACTTTATATGGTGATTTTTCTTATTAATAAAAATAATATCAATTAACATTTATAATGCTTACTGTGTATCAATAATAGTCCTACATGATCTCACAACAACCCTTTGAGGTAGGTACTGTTATTGGCTCCATTTTACAGTTGAGGAAACTGAAGTACAGAGAGTTTAAGTAACTTGCCCAGGTCACACAGAAGAATGTGGAGCTGAGAATCAGACCTATATAGTTTGGCTCCAGAGACTGTGTAATTAAGTTGTAACCCAAAGTGGCTGAAAACTTAGTTATTGTAAAATACAGTATCTGTTTTTGATTCTTTTCATTTCATTGTAGAAATAAGACATACTCTCATGAAAAGTTAAATGCAGTATTCAAGATGAGTACATGGTGTGAACTTCAGAAGTTTGGGATAGTTGAGGGAAGATTTCATAGAGGTTATGAAGTTTGAGGTGAGCCTTGACATGTGATTTGAATGACTTCAGTTATGGTGCATTTTGTTGGGAGGACAAATGAGGTTAATAGATTAGAGCATCTGAAGAACTAAATAGAAGAGCTTGTCTAGAGTAGAAGGCCTATATTAAAGAAAGTCTGCAAAGGTCAGCTCAGGCAAAAATGGAGTATTTGAAACTAGATCAGGATTTTTCTTACATGCAATAAGAAGCCAGTTTTAGAGGATGAATGGTGTGAGTACAGTGGTGGTTTTGAAATATCCACGTACAATACTTAATGATTCAGAGTAGAGAAATTTGGAATAGGGAAATCTAGGCCTCCCTAGATATTCAGGGAGGCCAATGAGGAGGGTGTTTAACCAGTGCACAACTGATACAACCTAGGTCACAGAGACAGTAGGGAAAAAGGATAAAAATAAATATAAAGAGGAGATAATATTTTTCAATAGTAGATCTTGATGATTTCAGAGATATGAATTTGAAGATTAGGTTTAGGAGGAATTTCCCATATTTTATCAAATTGAAGAATCCAGAAATCCTGAGGAACCATTATTTATCAAGAAAGGAAATAATTGTCAGTTAAATCATGACACACCATTATGTCTGTATCCCAGATTCAGAAATGTAAAAATTTGAAAAAAATGCCTCTTAGAACTAATGAATTATAGTCATTCTTGGAAGAAAATGCTGAGCTTGGGTTTAGACTTACTGCGTGTGAGGATTGCTGGAACACCTGAATTCTAAATTCTGTCTCATGGTAGTCATTTCCCCAAGTGACCTTTTCCTTGACCATGGCTTCACACTCTGTTGAAATACTGATTGATCTTAAATAGGTGTCTTTAGCTTGGATTTCTCTCCTGAGTCATTGGATTTAGATTTCTTTTCATTAGGCATAGAAGAGAAAGCACAGGTTTTGCAGCCAGACAAATCTGGCTTCAAATCCTGAATTAGTAGCACTAGTTATATGAACTGATATTAAAGAATTTTACTTTTAGTTTTGTATCTCCTAGTATTGTTATGGGAAATAATTTAAATAAAGAGTATAGACAATATGTGTAAACTCAGTGAAGGAAACCATTGTTACCATATTATCGTTATTGATGTGTTCTTCCTCATCTCTATGTGGCTGTGTAGGATTAATCCTATTGACCACATTGTCACAATTGGTCCTTGAAGGCAGAGACGATCTTTGTAAGGCTTATTGATTTTTGTATCCTTAACATTTTAACAAACTGAATAGCATATAGCATGTACTTGGTAAATGCTTGGTGAATGAATGCAGGGAGAAATGTCTAACAATAGTGGAAGCATGTTACCGCTATTTAGGAAATAGTTAAGACTGGTGATAAAATAGTTGAAACCTTGGCTAGATTATAGAGAAAGATGTAAAAAGCAAAGTGTGAGACTTGGAGAATATCTGTAACTAGGGGGCTGCAGTAGAATAGGCACAATTAGGGAGGTAGGAAGAAAACTGGGATAGGGTTACCGAAGCCATCTGAGAGGAGAGCTTTTATATGGAGAGAAAGTGATCAGTGGTATGTCATAATGCTGAGTTTAAGAAGAATGAGAATTGAGAGAAAACTTTTGGATACAAACTGTGGTTAATTGTCTGGACAGGGCCTCCCCTGGTGGCGCAGCGGTTGAGTGCTGGGCTGCGAAGCTGCCTCTGCAGCGCCGGTTCAATCCCCGGCTGCTGGCGAGGGTCCCACATGGTGCGACAGACCTCTCCTGCCACCCGCTGCTCCCCTCAGCAGTGTGTTTCATCAGTCTGCCTGTTCTGTTCCCGGCTCTGGCTCTGGTGAATTCTCTCACCCTCCCGCACTTCTGACTGTACCCAGTGCTTGTATAAACAAACAAACAAACAAACAAATAAATAAATAAATCTTAAAAAAATTGTCTGGACAGAAGCTTGGCTAAATAGGGAATTAGGCCATGGATTTGAAAAGATGGTGAATACAGTGTGTTGGTCTTTGATGTGTGAATTAGAGTGAAAAGTAGTAGAGAAATAATGTGGCCCCTAGAGGAAACACGTCAGGGGAAGAGGTTCAGGATGAGAATGGAGGTGCTGGAGAATAGTACCAGTTGGATAGTGGGTAGGAGGATAGTAGGGGGGAGAAACAATAAGATTACTAATGAAACTTTAAACTTTCTAAATCCTTATTGTTGGATCCTCTTTTACATAAACTCCTTTTCTGCTCTGCTCTCTTTTCTTGTCCTAGTTTTGTCTTGAGGTGCTGGTAGGGTTCTAAGAATGGATTTTTTTTTTTTTTTTTTTTTTTTAAACAGGAATAGGCTTGGGACATTGCTGTATGGGTGAGGAGATGCTTTGGACATTTCACATAGTATAGCTTGGACTTGACCAGCATAAATGTGAGACCTGAGTAATAATAAACCTATGAAATTGCTGCGAAAGGGAATAATCCACTAGTTGAGGAACACTCAGTTCTGCAATGGTGTACTTACTGTAATTATTACTCATAAATGTTAAATTACTCACTTTGGGATAATTCAGTGAGAGCTCAAAGAAGAGATTATACAAATGGGAATCTTTTATCTAACTTCTAAATTTGAGAAATGATTAAATAGTAGGCTTTCTGACTTTTAAATTATATGAATGGTAAAATTGATAATATAAACGGTACTGAAGCATGTCATGTCACTTTCCTATCAGATCCTTAAAAATGGGATAGTTATTCTAAGTAAATGTTATCCAAGAATTCATATCATTATTTTCTTGTATTACATTTCTTCAGTGTTAGGAAAAAAAGGATTTGAAATTTCAAAAGTTTTTCCTGGACTAATGATCTGGAAAGATAGTCCTGTTTATTTTGAAATTACTGAAAAAATTTGTTTATTTCTTTGTTCTTTCATAGGTGTAAGTTCTGCATCTTTGGGTACTTTTCATCAAAAGTCTCTTGAGACCAGGGGCATAGAGAGCAAATCTTTCTCTTTGAGTTTATTAATATTGGTTACTGGAAAGTTTAATTCTTAGAGCTGTATGTCCTGAAACTGTCTTTTTTACCAAATTACAATGAATCCACCTTCCCCCTTTAAAAAAAAGAGGCTACAATGGATAGATTTTAACTTACCAGTGATGGTGGTAGTTTTTCTGGGAGGGTGTTTTAGACCACTTTTGTACATATATCGTGGCAAGCGTTTGTCTATACACCCGTGGAAAAGGAATTAACTTTTTAATAAAAATTTTTCCCCTTACGATATTTGAACTACTTGTACTCAATTTTTGTGTCTTAGCTGTGGCGATATTTCTACCTTGAAAGTTACTGGCTTTTCTTTTCAAGTTGAGTTATGCTTTGTTTTGTGTTCCTCAGGTTTGAGATTTGGGGAAAGAGAACATAACTTCTTGTTTCTTCATGTTTATAGCAGGGGGAACATAACACGACTTCCATCCTCAAGATTTTCTTTTGAATAAAAGCCAATTTGTTCACTGAACTGTAAAGTTAAATTATTGTTTAACATATAAAGGTGTATTTAAATCTGTTCTGCAGTGTATACCATGTACCTAACTCCCACAATTTCCGGTAACCCAGTCCAAACCAGGGAGCTTGTAACTAGATGTTATAATTGTTACTTCTCTTGCCTAAGCTCCTACTAGAATGAGCTTCTTGATAACTGTTATTATGTCTTTTTATCTGTCTTTCCCACACCTAGCACAGAGTCTGAATCCAGATTTTTTAAAATAAGGGAGGGACTGAATGAATCCATTCCTTCCCTCTAAATTAGAATGTAAAATTTGTTTCCCTTGTCTCACAGACAGTAATAACAGTAATAGCCTTAATACTTTTAAAACTGGCTTCTATTGCTATTGTATCTTCAAATCTGTAGCTTATAGTGTCTTTGCCTGTAGTGTGAGGGCTTCACAGATCATGTCTGAGTGTCCGTCCATGGATACTCAGTGTCTGATATGCGCTCTTCTTTCCATTGTGAGCTGCTTGAGGACGGAGACCAGCAGTGACCAGCACATGGAAGGCAGCTGAGGGATTGTTTTCCCCTTTAAAAAAATAGGATGAATGCAACTGTCAACACTTACCTGTTTTCATTTGGTGGTTTTTATAATATGCCTAAAGTTCCTGAGTGAAATAAATGCCCAACTTAGGACCAAGGTGCTGATCTGGCTGGGTGGTTTCCTGTTTCAATTTTGTGGTGTATTTGACTACCAGAGCCACCAAAGTGGGAATGGAGACCTGCAGAGAGTGGAGATAATGGGGATAGTTAAGGTAAGGTAGGAATTGTCAAGAAAGTCATTGCAACATTTGCAAGTCCCTCCATTCTGCAGGGAGGTCAGATTGGGGGGAATAGATGATTGAGGGGACAGAGTGGGGTTGATCGTGGTGGGTAGAGAACTAATTCTGAGCCCAAATGACCCATTATCTCAATCTAGAGAGATCAGTAACGCATGGTTAAGAACATAAAACAATTAAGAAGACCACAAGATAACCAACTGTCACTCAGATTTTGGCACTGTGTAGCTAGGGGCAGGTCCTACCTCATTAGTTTTCCTTCCTAATAATTGGTTTGTTTCTACTTGCCTGTGGAACTTCCAAGCTTAATTCTTATTGTTTGTAAAATGCATCAAACATTAAATAAGACTATTACTGTTACCTGGTATCCAGTTTAATCACCACCACCCTGTATCTTTTGAAAGCTCTTTTCTCTACTGGTAGACAAATTTAGGCAGTAAGAATATTTATGATTTGAGTTCTTCTGTTATGACTTGAATTTTCTCACTACTTTTCCTCTTATCACTTAACTACAAATTTTGCAAAAAATATTTGGAGTTGTATTTTTATACTGTGAGATACTCAGATTGTAGTTACCATGAAAGAATTTCCACTTGTGTAAATGTTCCCCATTTTGAAGTGAACGATACTCTTAGAGAATCTATATGAACAGCTTGAAATGTTGTCAAGTACTCTTGAAATAAACTTCAAAAGGAGACAGTTTTGTGGTAAAATTTCACTTGCATTTTGACTTAGTTACAATCACTTGCAACTGTTGTGCCTAGCATTATTCCTAGCTTGTTTCAATTTTAGAGGTGAAGAAGCTTATGTTTAGTAGCCATGTTTTTTAAATTTGAAAGCTTGAGCTCCTCTTTTTTAGTTTAGTCTCTGCTAGTGGTGGCAGAACTGGAGGAGCTGGTTCTAGTGGTCAGGAGCAATAGACTTTGGACCCTCAATTGTAAACCTAGCAATAAAGAGACAAACATTTATTTTAACTAGGTAGCTACTCCTCATTGATATCCAAAAAGCCCTCATGTGAAGCCTTTGCTTGTTTGCTTGCTTATGAAGTGCTTTACCTCTAGATTGGAGGCAACAGGAGGGCAGGGTTTGTCTCCTAGGTATCCCCAGTACCTCACGTGGCACCTGGTACACAGTGAAAAACATTCAGAAAATGTTTTTTTTGACTGATTGATTGCTCTATTTATACTATTTGTACTATAATCTTTACAACTAAGGCTGTGAGGTAGGTCAGGCAAAATATTGTTATTTTTAGATTGCAAAACAGATAAAGAGAGATTGAGGCCTCACTCAGGTGTGGTGAGTGGTAGAGTCTGTGTCTCCCTCTTAAGAGTATTTTTTTAAATGATAAAGTCCATTTTTTTTCTTCTGCTCTATTAGACTGTTTCTTATGTCTGGGCCCAAGTAACCTTAGAAGGAAAGGGTTGGAAAGAAAGGAAAGTATGGCCTTCCTGTCAGATTTCTTCATGAAACAGATTACTTAGATTTTCTTATCTTAGCTCTAAGAATCAAGCTCTTACTTGGTTGGATGACCTTGGGCATTAGTTCATCTAGCCCTTTCTCTCCATTTTCCCATCTGTGAAATGGACTTAGTAATTATACGTACTATACTTAAAATATTTTTATGATAAGTTAAAGTAACTAATAATGTTTGTTAAATGAAAAATAAATATGAAGAATATTTATGATTACTGTAAGCTAATAGAACATAGGAAGTTATCAATATTTAGCATTTAAGTTTCTGGTGATGAGTAATTGAGCATGACTATGTGATGTTTTGTTTTGCTTCGTAGTTGCCTTAGGCTTTTGCAAGTCAACTAAACCCATCCCAACACCCATTTTTCAACTGTATTTATTGTCTTCTGGAGCCACTCTTGTTACCTGTCCTCATTAAAAAAATTTTTTAATGCACATTTCCAAGAAATCTACAATGATGAATTACTTACCACCACCTTTCCCTAAGAGCCTAATTATAGGAGACACTTTCCCTTATTTAAATGACATAGCCAAGATGTATATGTACTGTGAGAATTCAGTATTTATTTACAGTCTGTAAACTTGCTTCGTTCTTTTATTATTGTATGCTTTTTTATATATGTTTCATAATAATAGTGTTGAACTTTTTTTTTTTTTTTTAGAGCTTACCATGTGCTTTGCAAACATTATCTCTCTTAATCTTTGGAACAAATAAAAATATCTGGGGGCTAGATATTGCCCTATTGAGAAACTGAAGTTCAGAGAAAGTAATTTCCACTAATTGGTAGATCTGGATAAAAGTAGAGCTGTATTTAAATTCTGACTTTGAAGCTCAAGCTCTTAACATCTACTCCATGCTGCCTCTTGTCTCTCCAGAGGGTGTCAGTTTTAGAAGTCAGTACCAACAGGTTCCAGATCTGTAAGCAAAATTTGCACAGAGGATTTTGGAGTCCCAGGAAACAATGAACACTTAACAGATATCATTTTGGAGATAGTTGGATTTCTAATGATAACCATAATATTCATTTCTGAATTTTTATTTTAAGAAATCCTCAAATGAAGTAATAATATATCTACTTTTAGACATATTCTTGTTTTTTAGCCAGATTAATTGATTCAGGTATCTATGTATGACCGACAGCTCTGCTATATTAGAATCTTACCTTTTCTGTTGTTTTATCAAATGTCAGATCTATCTGCTTTGCTTTTACATAATAAATTGTGCTCAGTCCACATGGCAGGTATAGGTCATTTTACTTGCTCTTTTTGCCCAGTAGATATTAAATTAAAGCTACTAATAGAATACACTCAGTAGAGCTGATTTGTTTGTTCTAGTATGCATTTTTCCTAGTGTTACTAACTTTTTCTTAATACCTATACCAGGGACTTTGTGGCCATGTTGGTGTCATTAAAACTGTGGATAGAATCTTAATCTTCATAGACATTCCATATTTTCTGTCTCCAGAGATTTGTCTCTGCCATTTTTAAACTAGATGTACATAGTAGAATCTAGTACAATAGAATTTTATCTTTCTCCATCCAAATATAGAATAATAAGTAAGCATTGACTTTGCTTTTTCTATCTTTAATTGTAGTACCAGAAGAAAACATTGCAACAATGAAGTATGGAGCCCAGGTTGTTAAAGGGGAGCTGAAATCTGCCTTATTAGATGGTGATACTCAAAATTATGATTTGGATCATGGATTTTCTAGGCACCCAATTGATGATGACTGCCGTTCTGGCATTGAGATTAAGCTTGGTCAGCCATCCATTATCAATCACATACGGATCCTCCTGTGGGACCGGGATAGCCGGTGAGTCATTAGCCTGACTTGGAGAGAAACTGACATGTTTGATGGAGATGATCTAACATTGTGGTTATCTACCTTGGTTTTACAGATCTGATGCTTTATTTCTTTGTGATCACTTTGTTATTTCTGTTGAAGTTTTATTCTGAGAGAATTAAAGAGTATATTCCTTTAAAAACATAATTTTGCTTTTTTCTGCCAGTCAAAGGTAGTGATAAATATTTGCTTTACAAATATTTGCTTTATTGTGGAAAATTTAGAAAATATAGAGAACCACACAAAAATAAAAATTGCTAGTAACCTCACTCATTATTAATCTTGGTATATATCTAGCCAGTATAGTCTCTTTCTCGCTCTTTCTCTCACATACACAAACACACACACACATACACACACACACAGGTTTACAAAATAAAGATTGACTGTGTAATGAACTAACTTCATTTTTAGCTTAATACCTTATGAACATTCTGACCTTTTAAATTATTTTAAATTATAACTTTTATAAGTAAAATGTTACTTTTAACAGTTTTAACAGTTGTCTGACATTCCATCATGTGGTATGTCATTTACGATTATCAGTTTACTTGGTTCCTTATTTTTGGATATTATAATAATTTTTTAAGTGCATTTCATCCAATGAATGAGGAAAACATTATATTTCAGCATGTGGATAAATAACCCCAGACAAAAGAAATTTGTGAAACAGTTTGGTGGACACCAGCCTGGAAAAATCCATCCTATTCTGCAGTGACTTCAGGATTCTGCCTTCCTTCTAGCCCCTCTCGTACTTTCACCTATTATGGCTTCTAGGGTTCAGCCATGAAGTAGGAAGATCTAGAACAGGAGGGGTGACCAAGAATGGAACTGTGTCTCTCATTGTCACTTATCATTAGCCTAAACACACAGAGACTCTTATACCCTGCTCATGCCTCTGGGGTTCAGGGCTTTAGGACTTAATAGTAATTGTGATAATATCTTATGAATCTTGTAGAATAGTGCATTTCTCTTGTTAGCACCACTGACCACTACCCTGGCCTTTTAGGCCATTTTAGCCAAATATGAGGGGAGTTTTATAAAATGAAAGTCAACCTTTCCCATGTGCGTGGGTGTTCAAGGTCCTATAGTTTTTCAACCTGTTTTTAAATTAATATTTATTTTTTTAGTAGACATAAAATTTATTTATATTAAATTAATGTTAACATGAATTAATTTTTCTTGATATGTATCTTGCTGGATGTAATATGATGTTTAGTTAGCAAAATGGTGCTGATTCACTTAACTCTCTGAGTTAGGTTATTAACCTTGAGTCCAAGAGTGTCTAATTACTAATAATATAATTTATTATTCATTTATTATAATCAGGTTAGGATAATTTGATTAATAATAATATTACTTCTATAGGACTTTCATTACTTTTATGTGACAGGCCTTTTTTAAAAGGTTTATATATATATGTTCAATAATGAAATTAGTATAAAAACTAGAAAAGGAAAGATGTATGTTTGAAACTGAAAGTAGCTATCTTTGTTTCCATGATGTTAAATATTTATAGGCCACTTTGTTTTAGTATATATGTTATATTCATGGGGGACTTAACTTTATCCCATAACACTTATTTTCTCACAGAAGTTGTTATCATTCTAAGTAAAGGTGAAAAATTCTGAATGTTAAGCCAGAAAGATTCTGACATGTGTTGTAGAATTATATCCTACATTACTGATAACCCAGAGAGGTTCAATAAAAGGTTATAACCAGTTTGAAACTGAGCGATAAAATGAATGGGAGTGAGGGGACAGCCGAAAATGAGAGGATGACACAAAATAAGCTGACCTTTTCTGGTCACAACTGTGGTTCCAGGCTGACATTTATGGTCACCTAAATCTTCCAAGATTGTTCCTGTTGATATTACAGTACAAGTAATAACTGCATCTCAAATTTAAATTTGGCTTATGACAGGGCAATATAGATTTGTTCAGTGGGGTCCAGCATGTAATGGTCCAGGGTAGCTGACCAGGGGAGGATAATAGGCTGGTTCCATTACTGCCAGATTATTAGCTGGCAAATTTTAAGTTAAACACAAAAGAAACATGTATTATCTCTTCACCTATGTCATTTATTTTTCTGCAGTCTGAAATTGTACATGCAGGTTGATAAGAGAATGAGCAAGAGCAGGAGATAAGCCAGATTCTGTGGGAAACTGTTCCAAGTTAGCTTTCTTTCTGAGAGAGTGGGCCTGAGCACCCAGGCCTGGGAAGGTCAGGGAGAGGCACACTTCCTGCTGCTCTATTTTGTCCATTCTCAGGCATGGCATTATAAATTTATGCTAGTAGGGTATGAGCAAAGCAGCCTACCCTGTTTGAACAGGAACGAATGTTGGGAATACCTGATATGTGCCAAGCACTGTGCTAGCCCCTGAGAATATGATGATAATAAATATGGCCAGGTCCTTGTTCTTAAGGAGCTTGTGTAGACAGATATGCTGAGAGATAAGACAGTACATTGTGGTGAATGCTACAGCTCTCATTATCAGACTTCGATTATTGTACAGAAAACATAATTAGTGAATAGTATGTTTTTAGTACCTTTTAACATTATGTTGAGTGTAATTTTGTATTTTTATTTTAATATGATACTTTTTTCTGCCTTTCTTCCTATTGATTCATAGGTCTTACTCATACTTCATTGAAGTGTCAATGGATGAACTTGATTGGATCAGAGTGATTGATCACTCGCAATATCTGTGTCGTTCTTGGCAAAAGTTATATTTTCCAGCCCGCGTCTGCAGGTTAGTTCTCATGGCTAATGAATGATTTTTATTCTTAGTTAAGGAGATTTGGTCTTTGAGAAACAGACTACATTTATTTTTCTGTGTCATGGAAAGAGGGTTTTCCTGAGTAGTACCTAGCAAATAAATATCAACTGAAATTTTAGGAAAAATAAAAAAAGCAAGCATCTTAATATTTAGAGTGCGTTGTGAAATTGTTTATCCGAAGTGTCTTACACTATTTCTCTGTAGTAACCATGTAAATAAATAAGGAGAGACAGACAACTCTGAGAAGTAGAATACTTTTTGAACTCCATGTTGCATGTGGAAAGCAGTGTTATTGTTAGGATGTTCTTTCCATGGAACCATGAGAGATATTTCCAGAAGCTTCCCTGGCAGTCATCAGGGTCAGGAGGAGATTTTTGGATGCCAGTGTGCATGTTTTCAACATTTGTGTTCTTTTGCTAGGTCACTGGATGTCAGTGGAGTTTGACAGAAGGGTCTGAGTGAGTTGGGGTTGGGGTAAGGGAGACCAAGCTGATGAGGTCCAAGCTTACACCTCCCTGCAACCAGTACTTTGCTGTTACTGTTGTTCTGTATTGCTGTCCCATCTAAGGTTGTTTTAAAAAAGGACTGCAAAGCTACCATCCTAATATTTTATATTCTTCCTTTAGTTGTAAGCCATCTTACGGAATAAAAGTGAATTTGGGAGTTGGAAAAGGTGGTTAAAGTTCCTTGAATCTCTTTTGTATTTTTCTGTTGTAATTTTCCCCTTGGAAATTGCCCTCAGATACTCTTTTTCAAAGGCAGAAAGTGATTGGTTCACTTAGTAAAGTGTAGCAAGAAGAGAAGGGAAGGGATATGGTAGGTGTTAACTGGGGGAATGTGGAGCCAGTCCCTTGCCCACTCCCCTCCCTACCCTCACCCTGATCCTGACTGTCCTCCCTTTGTGGTAGAGCAGATGGAGGTGCCCCACTGAACTTCGTTTTATAGTCAGAAGTTACCCTGATACTGAGTAAACTCATGATTTAACAGCATCAGGCTGAATTCTTATCCCCAACACAAGAACTCCACAAAACCTTGCAGCCTCTGGTACAGTAAAGAATGTTACCTACATTTTTTTATTATGGGTATGACTGGACACAATATTGTTACCCGGGGATCCTCTTGTGTGAAAATGAAGAAAATCAATTTCATTTCCCCAAAGAGAAACTAAAGTGTCTCAGCTCTGGCGGTTGCTCTTTTATCAGAGGAGTTTTGAATGGATTAAAATGAGAGGGACAAGAAATTGAGTGAGGATTCTGTAACTCAGAGCTGCCTAGGGATACTTTGAGAGTGACAGAGGGGCCCCACAGTCGAGGAAGAGATTGAGTCTGCATCGACTCAGGTTATTACAGCTGTGTCGGATTAAAAAATAAGCAGCATAACAGCCAAAGTGTCTGATGTGGACCAGAGGACTGTGTGTTTGTATTTAATTTGAAACAATAGGAACATGACTTCCAGAACAAATCATCATGAATATAATTCCAGCCTTGACAGTCTATGGTGCTTTACTTACTTGAAAACTCCTGTTATAGGGAGGAAGATGTGTGCCCTTGGTCATGATCTTTGACTTTTAGAAAATACACTTCCTTTATTTGTTATTGGGCATTATTTATATTCCCCTTTTCTTATTTTTTGCCTCCCATGTGGCCTTCCCTTTGTTAGTGTAGCTTTTATGTGTTGTAGAGCCTGGTTACATTCATGGTGTAGTTTTTGTCTTGGTAGAGCCAGCTCCTAACTTTGGTCAAGAGAAATTGAGCAAAGGTGATATTAGAGATAGTGATAGTAAGAGGAGAAAAGAGTGTTGATATCCATATCAGTAAACAAAAATTTTTAATATTTAACCACTTTAACTTATATTAATTACTATGTTCTTTCATAAAGTCTGCCTTTTGCAAAAGGTTACAATTTTGGTTGTATTTTCAAATGAACTGAAGAATAAGCCCTTAATGATTACCCAAAGATATCTTATACTTGGTATTTCTTATCTTCATCTTTTGTTGATCACCTTAATGATATTATAAATACACTTCTTCCAGGAACTGATCTCGGCACATAAAATGCCTTATTTCCTTAGCACTTACTTAAGTGTTCAGTTGCATTATGTTAATTTGCACATTTGTATGTCACCTTTGTTCTTTAGTGTCCTTTGTGTGTTTGTCTTGCCTCTGATAATAAAATTACAAGCTTTTGGAAGCAAGGGGATAAATTCATATCTTTTAGTATTCTCGCATGGTACTCAGGCTATGACCTTATATGCACTAGATACTCTATAAATTTTAGCACAGGTTTCCTGGTGTCAAGGCCTTGATCAGGCAGTGAAGAAAAATTGATTCAACATTAATGTGTATGTAGGTACCTATATAATGTTTATGTAGGTAATATATATGTAGGTACATTATATATATATATGTATTTTAAAGATTTATTTCTTATGGGTACAGTCAGAAGCACGGGAGGGTGAGAGAATTCACCAGAGACAGAGTGGGGAACAGAACAGGCAGACTGATGAAACACACTGCTGAGGGGAACAGCGGGCACAGCAGGAGAGGTCTGTACACCATGTGGGACCCTCACCAGTGGCCGGGGATCAAACCGGTCCTGCAGAGGCTGTGGGCAGTCTCGCAGCCCAACGCTCAACCCCTGCGCCACCTGGGGAGACCCTATATAGGTACTTTTTAATCCATGTAATTGTTACATTGTATCTCAGTGCTGGAAAATCTTCTAGAGTGGTAAATGATTCTATATTGTTTGCAAAGGTTAATGTCTGGTTTTTCATCGGGAAACTGAATTTTGAGGTTAATGCTGAGGAATGTGTGCCAGGTATTGATGAAAGATCACATCAAATCTATTCCAGTGAATTGGGAACTATGAGATTACCCACTCTTTGAGTATAGCCTGATTTACATCTAAATCAGCATTGCGTAATAACCAAACCACAGGCTGTGGAGTTAGAAATCATTTCAGATTCTGGTTTCATCTAATGCTTGTGTTGTGATCTTGGTGAAGTCGTGCTTTTTTGCACCCTAGTTTCCACCCTAGTAAAAAGCAGGAACAACAGCCCCGCCTTCATGGAATTGCTATGCAGTGTTGGATGACATGGCATATGTACAAGTAATAACAATGCCTGGCCCAAAGTAGTGGCTCAGTATAGTTGTTTTTATTTATTTATTTTTACTATTTTCCTAATATGTTTTTATTATTAAAACTGGTTTTACATTTTTTTTTTCTAATTTCTGAGACTATGAAGTTTAACTTTCAGAGAAGCAGTGCCATCTCTGCCATCCTCATTTGCCATAGTGCTCTCTCTGAGAGATCCATCGTGGAGCCTTATCTTTTTGATGACTCTCCGTATTGCCTGTCTGTCCATACCCAGCCCAAACATACCTAAATTCTTCTCTTTACCTGAGTAACCTGCCCATTTGTGTGTTTCCAGCAATTTACATATATTTTGGTACTGTTAAGTACTTTTTTGTTACGGTAAAATACATACATTGTAAAATTTGCCATTCATATGTCTTGTGGAATGTAATTCACTCAGAATTTCACCTCGCTAATCAGGGAGTGGGTATTATCTAGTGGCAGACTAGAGAGTAGTGTCAGACTTCACAGCCAGAGGGATCTTTCCAGCCATAATGGTAAATCAAGAGAAATGATCTGCTTTGTCTTTCTGGGTCCTTTTTTAGGAATGCCTTGTGGGGTAATTTGGGATTGCTCTATAGACTAGTAACTGCCCCCACCCTCAACTCCCAGCTGGAGATGAAGAAAAGTGACTTGTTAATTTTGATACAGTGTTTCAGAACTATGTTCTACCTTATCAAACTTCTCTTTCTCAGCAAAAGGCAATTCCCACTTTACCCATAAATTCTCCAACTTTCAAATTGTCTTCTTGGCTACCTAGTATCTCTCTCTGTGTCCTCCATAGCTTTCTTAGACCCTAGACCCTGGAACTGAATAAGAAAAACTAATAAGGAGTGGCAAATATCGAGTTGCCTGGAGATGTTTTTAAAAACGTCCTGGCTTTTTCTCAACAGACATTGGCAGTTTAGCAGCTGTGTAATATTCCTGAACACATAGGTGTGAATACCAGAGGGGTAGATTCCAGAGCCTGCATGTGTGTGGCTGGTATTAAAAAAGATCATGGTGTAAGACCTAGTTGTTGAGGGAGAGATGTAGCAGGCCTGAAAGCAACATCCTGAAGGATAAATGCACTGATGGAGGAAAGAAAAGCAATGCAGACATGTTTACTGCAGGGACTGCTCAGAGAGATTAGACAGGAATCAGGAGGAGCACAGTTCACTGAAGACAAGGCCTGAAAGGGTGAGACTTTTAGAGTAAGCCACAGAGGGATGAACGCAGTAACTCAACACTGGGTTTCTGTTTTTCTTTCCTTTTGTTTTTGGCTATCAAAATGGAAATGTCTTATTAGTGACATTTTCATTATAAAATTATGATGTAGTCTCTATTTTAAATATTGATGAAACTCTGGAAAGGTTGTACCTACTATCTAGGAATAGCATGAATTTTAAGTTGAATGCTTCACCATAAGCATCATCAACCTTTTACAAATGTGATTTATGATTTGTAAATAATATCTGATTTTAATTTGGATTTCTTTTATCACCAGTGAGGTGGAATATCTTTTAATACTGGCCATTATTGGCTGCTCTTCATTTATAGAAAACCTTTTTTTTTTTTGGGTATTCTGCACATTTTCCTTCTGGGACAATTATTTTATTCTTTTTGCCTTGTGAGAATTTTATACCGGTATATTGTTATAGACACATTGATACATAATGTGACAATATATGTTATATATATACACATACACAGAGACATATCCTTTTGTCTGTCATAAATTGTGTGATTTATTATGTAGTTACCTAGTGTTTTATTGGTACTTTTTGAAGCATAAATTTTTACTTTAAAAATGTGTTTTTTTGGTCAGTGTTTATGAATTTCGGTGGTGCAGTATATAT